AATATTTTATTATTCAGAACAAGGTTTTGAACAAAAAAGTGAAAATATTATAATAACAACAAAATTATGAAGAAACGTTAATATAAAAGTATCAATGTTCTTAAACTAATTTTAGAAAACGTGCATGCATTGATTTTGTTAAGTTTTGTATTTAAAAACACGAATCAGATCCCATTATCTCCTGAATAGCATTTCAATCGTCGCCTTTGCTTGTAAAATATCTTTACGTCAATATATTGGGTTTAACAAATATATGTGGACGGCCGTAAATTTACTTGCCGTACGTACAGATATTTACCTAAACATTAAATACCAAAATATTAAAAACGTCTCGCGAAAAACCAGGAGAATGTAAACTGCAGTTTTATTTCATATAAAGAGATCATGCTAACAATGCCGAGAAATGTATTACATGCTTTCTCTCCAACCCTGAAAAGGAAAGCTAGCAAATGCTAATAAATCCAGCGCGTCATGTTGTTCTGGAACAATCTTCTTCTCAGGGTGTCTACCCATAAAATATTCAGATTTGGGCGTCACTGATTGACAGTTAAGCATCACTTGACCAACCAAATCGTGGTGCATACTAAGTTATTTATTTATTTTACGGTGAGGTTCACCCTGTAAAATCCAGGGGAGTCACTCAAGGTAGTGGGTTAAGGAGTAAGAGGCACAGTTTATGTGGATAGGTGGATAACAGTTAATCCTAGACTTGAACAGGTTATGATTGTAGTGATCGGGGAAACATCCTCTTGGGAATCATTTCCACATAGTAGTGGTTTGCAGGAAGAAGCTGCTCTAGTGGAACTTACTTCTCAATAGTGGAATATGAAGGTAAGGAATGTATTTTGCTACAATGTCTGTAGCATGGCACGCCCTTGCTGTGAAGATTAGAACTGATGGAAGTGAAGAATGTAGCTTGTTTGAGCCATTTCCATGGAAGTAGCGATACAGCAGTGAAAGGTTCGATACATATCGTGTGTTAGAGAGGGGTTGCAGGAAGGATGGAAAATAATTTGTCACCCACAAAGAGGCGGATACACTTTCGGATTCTATCGCGATTAGAAAGTGCAGGGAAGAGGGAGAAAAGTTAATCCCATAAATATGATTCTTCTAAGCTTGGTCGTAGTCGTAGCCTTTACTCTTCGATTGAGTTTTCGGTCTGGAGAAAAAGTCGTCCTTTTCGTTATACGGGTGTTTTGGCACCCATTTAATTTAAGTATTCAGTGAATTACTTCACTGAATTCCACAAAGCATTATGTTGTATAAAGCCATCTTCTTTCTGAGCGAGTTATACTTAATTCTTGAATCATGGCTGCATGTGTACCTTCAAACGTCAATATACACTACAGTTATTATTTTTTAAATCGACCCAAATAATAGCTGCTTTGTTCTTTAAATAAGAGAAAATTATTATCTACAGTTAAAAAGTGATACAGGATTATGACAAATAGAAAAAAATGCATTTAATTATTAAATTTTACTCTCGTCAAAATACCTTCCTTTTGCCTTGATTGCTGCAGCAAACATTTTTGGGATTCGTTGCAAACATTTCTCAGAGTATAAGTTGGATAATTGATTCCATTCTTTTTTACAATGACATTAAGAATTATTTTTCATTTTTCATTCAGGCTTCTGTCAAGTTAATCCAATGCTATTTCTGTGAGGTGGCTTCAACCTTTTGAACTGGAGCGTATGCCTAAGTTAAGATAACACCATTTTGAAGTCATTATTTGATTACTACTTCACCATCTATCATACCACCGGGATAGATAACACCAAATTCGCCTTGTTGAAATTTTAAATGCTAAGAATGACCCCTGATGGTAGCCTCCTAATATTACACCCAGCTTTCTTACCTAATCAATATGACATATTTGTCGATGAAAATGACGGTTGAAAATATCGGTCTTCATGCATTATGTTGACTATTCTATTTCATTTTCTTTCATCATCAGCCCCATAACCGAGTGTGGTTGTAGGGCCACTGTGCAGCCGAAGACCAGAAGAGTTCCCTTTCATTTATCTGGCTTGAAAGCCGGAGAGGTATTCATTCATGCGTTGCCTAGCGGAGACCATTGATCTCTATAACAAACAACCGATGTTCCACTTGCCTTAGTCACGTATTACGGTCCAGTAATTACATCAGAGGAAACTTTAAGCTTGGCCGTTGACTTCACTACAGAAAGCTCTATGATCGGTGATGCCGGTTCATCGATGCTCTGGCTGCATACATAGCTTAACTGTTTTGCCATCAGATATAGTATCATACCTTTTTTACTTGTCACACGTCTTCGTTGCTCCAAGGTCTAAAAATTTAATCTCTTGACAAAAATATATATATTTTTTTTTAATTTGATACGGATCACTAATCAGCAAGATAACGTTAGTAAATTCCTCTAAAATTATATTATGTTCGGTGTTATATGTCAATCATTCATATATATATATATATATATATATATTATTTACAATCAGACTATTGTTCTTATTATCACGACCTTTCGGTGGTTTCGCCTTCTGGTTTTCTTCAGGTTCTTTCCAATCCGAGTAATCTTCAGAGAATTTATTTAATATATAGGGTCTATTTTCCTTGTTCCGTTGTCCATGTATAGAAATATCTCATCTTTTTCTCGAATATGGTGATTGAGAGTGCAATCCCTGAGCCGGGTAGTGCAAACTTAGAGTCAGTGGAAATAAAGCAAACAGTAAACTCTCTCTCTCTTTCTCTCTCTCTCTTTCTCTCTCTCTCTCTCTATATATATATATATATATATATATATATATATATACAAGTATAGGATTGGTGTATATGGAATAAATTCCAATAATCAAAAAATATTATTCTTAAAAGAGTGCTCAATACAGTGTAAACCAAATATAATTATTTATTCGAAAATTAAAACATGAATATGTTATAAAATCACAACAGAAATAGCCATTTTTTCTAAGTTTCTTCTTTAAATAATTTTATAATTTTTTAATTAATAAATTTATTTATTTAATTAATAAATTTAAAATTTAAAATTGATAATTTTTAACTTTATAGTAAAATTTAATATTAATTAGAATGAATTCTATTTTAGTCTAATCCTAACATTAAAGCATTAATTAATTATTATAACCAAAGTTCGTTGTCAAGTTTTTTGAATTTTCATATACTTGTATTTCGATTGGTCATTCCAGTTCATGTAACAGCTTTTCCCCTAGCGCGGGGTGTTTGATTGATTTGAACCTTTTAAAACCCCTTATTCTACATTCAACATCATCACTTGATAAGACACCAGAAGTGTTCAAACAAAATAGCTATATATATATATATATATATATATATATATATATATATATATGCAGGGTGAGACTGATAGATTGCCGTCTGAATTATGCAAAAATGAAAATAATACTGACATCTAATTTTATCAGATATATTTACCAAAATTACCCAAAAAGATCTTGAAGTACTAAATTCTTTTTATTCAATGACTTCTCCATTGGCTTCACGGCCTCCCGAGGACTTTTCAATCTCCTGGAACACTTCTGGACTGTCTCTTTGTTGGTGAATGCTGCCATTGTCCTTGCCTTCAGTTCATCTTTGGTGTCACAAGTTTTGTTGGTTTCTTCCTCAACTCTGCCGCACATATAATAATCAAGGGAATTTGCAGTTTGGGGAGTTAGGTGGCCAGGTCTAAGGGGTGATATGGTCGCAGAAAATTGTCTGACAGCCATGACTGGGTTCTCCTGTTTCTGTGGTATGGTGCAGAGTCCTGTTGCCAGACACAAGTCTTCCAGAAGACACACTCTTGACACAGGGCAGCACTACCCACTCAAGGTCCTTGATGTAGGTCTCCGTGTTGAGTCTGATGCCCTGTGAAAAGATGAATAAAGGCATAACATCGCCGTCACTTGTGATAACACCAAACACATTCCAAATCACCATTAAACTCATTCAACTCTTTCCGAATCCTCTACACTGTCCTCAAATTGTCACCCAAACACTGAAATGTGCATATTGAAGCTTCCGGCGAGAATGCCAAGCAGTACAGCAAATTACTGGTGATGTGAATTGCGCCATTGTGCTCTTTTTCTCACAGACAGTATCCAACTGACTCTACTATACTTTGCAGTCTACAAAATCAAAAACAAACAACGCGCATGCGTGAAATTACAATACTAAATGTAGAATTGCATTTACAATAAGGTTAAATCAACCATTAATTAAAAATGATTTTGCTATAGCTTTAAATTGGAAATTATTATAAATATTTTCTCTATAGAATAGCACTGAATTTATTTTATATCCATTGCAAGTTAAATTATTATAAGAATTCATGGAAAACGCTTGAATATAGAAATGTATTAAAATTGATTTTGATAAATTGATGAATTGAAATGTAATTCCTTTAAGATTCGCATTGTGAAAATCACTTTTATAGTTTATAAAATCATCTTCAGTTTTAAAATATTATTTTTACTCATTTCGCCATAAACACTACAATAAAGCCAATAAGATTCAAGGTGAAAGAACCTGAAAAAAACAATATTGAGGAGAGAGAAAAATAAAAGAACATATGCCAAGGAGAAAGAAAATGCTGATTGATGTTGCATTTTTAGTCGAAGGTTGCAGTACGTTCGCAAGCCCGATGGAAGACACCTTCTTGGTTCCCCCTACGAATGGGTGGGGGCGAATTTAGAGTACACCTTTCGTCTACGTGCACCGCGCTTTTAACTGCATACCAGGAACATGTCAGAAGGAGAACTGCGTCCGATTCCGGCTGTCCGGATGTGTGCGTCGCGCATGCTCCATTTAGATGCCACAAGTACTCCTCGTTTTTCTTTTCTCCTACCTCTCTCTTCCTGTTTCATCTGGGTCGTCGTTTCATTACGGATTTACCCCCGTGGAAGTGCTTCGGCGCTTCCGGCGCGTGAGATGGCAAGCGAAACAGCTTCTCGTTCGTGCCCTCGCGGAGCGCCACGAATTTAAGCTCCTCTTCGAGTAAAGGTGCATGTCGGCCCAACCTCCACCCTACGCGCGTCCGTCCCACCCGTTGCTCAGCGTCATACTCGGCGTAGGGCCGTTTGACTGGAAGCCGGCTGTAGACTCTGTACTGGTATGGACCGTACGAATCCGACTAAAACAAAGCATCAGCATCGTGTAGCCGGTTGATCCGTACAGAAACAATGTGATTTTTGTACAGTGCTCTGAATGCCAAAGTGAAGAAATTCAACTAAGTACGGGTAAACGTCCCTGTTAACCGGGATGTATTGTCTCCTCACGGAGACTTCCCTGTTTGCTCGCGAACTTTCTGTAAGACGGCTAGTCTGTCCATACATTAATCCCGAACACATTCCACTCAATGGAATGACCTAAAGAAATGGTAAGAAGCATCACATTGCTCTAATGCCCGAAAATACGTTCGGTTGTCCCCTCATTATCTCTAGCGTATAGCTGCGATAGAACGCGAATCGATACCCCTAAGAATAAGCAATAATTGCATCTAAAATCTCCCGTCCGCAAGACTCTATTAGCTGCAATCGATGTAGGGCTGACTATTGATCCATCCTGATCTCGCTTAGGCACGTTAGAATCCCGATATCGGCGGATCCCTGTGTCTCTGGATGTCACTAAAACCCCCTTAGGGAAGCTAGGTTAAACGTCCAGCTAAACACCCAAAGGGAGTTGCCCGCCCCTGGATCGCTTCCGAGGTAATAACTCTGTTCAATGCACCGCGGGTACCGTGAATGTCAAGATGACCCCTCACATACCTGGTCGTACGGTCTCCGGTATTCGATCAAAGCGGCGGCGATTCCCTAGATCTGGCCTTATATGTGCGGAACTTGTGACCTCGGAGCCACTTGGTGAGAAGCAATGGACAGCGGAGTCCAAGGAAAGGCTTAATGAGGAAGGTGAAAAGACACTTTGGATCACTGAGTACGTTACCAGCCTCCTGTCTAAATCATCAGTTCCCAAGATCCGAGAGACAAAAGCGGATCCTTAGCGACCCTAATAACTACTCCCTGCTATACTATACGAACTTCCTCCTATATAGGAGTGATTACAATCAAACATTAACGGTTGAAACTCCAGAATCCATGAACACAGTCCCAAATCGGTTGCCGAGAAAATCTACGACAATAATCTCTCTTATGTGTGGTTAGTGGCCGAGCGATCTTTCAACAAGGGCTTCCTTCGTAAGTGGAAACTGGTGTTCGAACGTAATGGCTGGAGACCACCCGGGCTTGCCGAAAATCGAAATCGCTACACCTATCCAACTGACAGATATCACTCCCATTATTGCGTCTATGAAAGATTCCTTCCCGGGTTCGGATGATTTCCGCATACAATGATTCCGGGGTATCACCGTTTAGGTCATCACCATTCTGTGCAACCTGCTGCTACTGAAGAGTCCTCCTCGTTCCCGGTATTAAACCAGCAACATCTTCACCTCTCGTGTGACCTCTGTCAGAAAAGTCGAGGTGACCGGCAATGACCTGCATTTTTTGTCTCATCGCTATTGGTAACTACTTCATGAGGTTACTTAATCGAGTACTTGCCAATCGATTGGAGGCTGTTTTATCGCGGTCATCAAAACAAAGTCGAGTTCAAACGTCTTGATAGCCTTCAATGTCCTCAAGCTCTACGCAGCACTCTTGTTGACCCGTTCATGAGAATCTTGTCGCCTCCGTGGACACCCGCAACAAGGCATTCGACCGGGTATCCCATGAAGTACTACTAAACATACTCCAACGAAAGGGAGTCCCTGAGCTCTTTATAGGTATTTTCGTGGTTAATTCAGCGGTAGCGGATTACAGATTGCAACATCTTTTGGATTAAAGAGGGGGATTAATTTTCTCACTGGCTATTCGATCTAGTGTTTGATTAGATCCTGAAAGAACAAGAAGAATATATTACATTTATCAGTGAAATTAACGCTCAATCAAATGTCTGACGCTAGTGACTTGATCTTAATCGACAACTCTTCTGCTGAGACACAAGTAAGTCACCACCGGCTCTCTGTCGGTCGGAGTCACCTTGGACTGAAATTCAACGCCCTTAAATGCGAAACACTATCCATCCATGACGATAGGAGGAAGTTCAGTTTTGCTTACACACATATTTCGCTAACGATTGACAGTACTGTTTTGCCTGTTGTAAATGCTACTTCAATGTTCCGTTAGACGTTCAATTCGTCTGGAGGGCCATCACCCGAACACGGGTGGGCTTGCCTCTACTTCTTCAGAGGCTTGATCTGGAGTTATTCAAGTCGCGGCAAAAACCGATTCTTCTAAAAAAAATTCTTATTGTCGCAGCTTCATTAGTAATTGAAGTTCGGCAGGTACCGTACTAGTCCAGGCTAATAAGGTTATTTGTCGGGCTGCACGCAAGTGGCTCCGGCTACCTGCAGACATTCCCAACACTACGACACGCATTCGGGCAAAATTCGGCGGTTTAGGGATGATTCTCTGGAGATGGCTATTTCATTACTGATAATAAGTATCTCTCGGGAACGAAGAGGACGCTATCATTGCGGCCCACCCTGGCGTGCGAAATCTGTTGACATATCGCTTCAAAAGATCTACTATTAGCATACTCGAAAGCCCGGTTGAAGTTCTGAAAACGAGGTTGGACACCAGAAGCCTAAAGGTTCCAGCTGTCAACAGTTAGTTTAAATACATTGCCCGGCTACTATTTCTAAGAGCCTGTGAGAGTCCGTTTAGCCTGTATGATTATCCCTGGACAGGAGGTCAATAGATGTGATGTGTAAATGTGGACGCAATGATCCCATGAGCCTGCCGCGCATAGCTCAAGCCTGCGAACTCGTAAGCGAAACAACAAAGCGACACAATAACATAGACCTGCACGTAACGCATATTCTGAAGAAGCGTGGTTTCGATGTCATCATGGAGACGAGATTCCAGACGGTTCTCGGCGTGCGGAAGCCGGATTTTGTGGTTGTGACCGACGGACATATAATAGAGTTGGATTTAGAAATACGACCTGACTCAGTTGTGTGCAAGTTCGATGCATACAACAGGGAAAAGATTGCTAAGTACAGCCAGCGCGAAAGTTGAGGCCCCTAACAATAAAAGTGATGACACTCACTTATCATTCGAGAGAAGTAGTTGCCCAACAGTCACACCAAGACTGCAAACAGATACGCCTACTGCACTCAATCTCGATTCTCAGTATGGATACGGAACGTGAAACCGCGGTCCATCGAAATTTCCGAGCTGAGCAACGTTCCTCCGAGTGGTGTTAGAAAAGTTGCGATAGGGATAATTGACTTTTGGTGTCCAAGCGTTTGTAGCGACGTCGCTTTTGATCCTTCGATGTCAGCTCTTCTTATCATTGCGAAGCAGTATTCACAATCGTTAGATTGTTCACCCATTGGCAGGAAACTTGAGCGGGACTATAACCCAGTTTGGTCGATCGGCGGGCTGGGTGGTCGAGCGCGCACCACGGGAGGACATGACGCGGTCGCTCAAGAGAGGCGCATCTGTTTCTGCATACGTACCTCAGTCGCGCGATTGACGCGCAACTGTCTCTGCACAGGTGCCTAAACGGTGTCACAATCGGCCAGTCGTGTGCGAATCATGGCCTGTTGTCCCACGGGCTGGCGTACCGCAAATCAGAAAGTCGCTCAGACTAAGCGAACTCGTGTACGCGCTTCCTAAGTGAATTCCTGTAGGCGCTGGAACATTTAGTATATATCATTTAATAATTCTTCGTGTAATGGCTGTATACTTGAGGTAAACATCCAATCTCTTTATAAACAAAACATATAACGTAAAATAATTTGCAAAGTATTTTTATAAGTAAATTTTATTAGCATGTCTGTAGGAAAATCATATCAAATGTATATTATAGTTATTTAATTTTCAATGCAAGCCTATAGTAAAATATTTTTCAATGCATTCCTATAGTGAAATCATTTCCTATGGATTCCTATAGTAAAATCATTTCCAACACATTCTTATAGTAAAATAATTTCCTTATATCTTCCTATAGTAAATATCTACACTACATTCCTGTATAAAAAACCTCATCAAAAAAATTATTTCGACACGATATGCCACGTGTCTTCATATATTTAAGTAATGAATAAACATAGATTTTACAATAATTTAAAGAAAGTTAAAACTAAACAGTCCTAATGCCATCTAAAGAAAAATAAAAACCTTTCTTAGACAGCCGATTATTTTAGAATAGTTGGAATAATGGAAGCAAGCTTAGGATTTTGCTCGATAATGGAAAGAACAGAGAGGGAGAGAGAGAGAGAGAGAGAGAGAATTCCTTTTTAGTCTTTGTGAAGAATAGTCTCACCACACTAGATTATTGTTGTAGTTCTATAACAAGTAAACTTCGTAGAGGATGAAGTTACCAGTGCTAGGACCAAACGGATTTGAATTCAGGGTTAACATTATCTTTGATAAACTAAGGAATCTATTCTATCCTGCTATTTATCTCATAGCTGGAGGCAGAAAACGAATTCATATGTTTCGCAAAGATGTTTATACGAAAGTGAACACCTTGAACTCGACCAGAATTTGTAGTCAGAATGCAAATCCCATTTTCCGCACCGATAACATGAAAGCAAACATCTCCTTATAGACTAAAAGAGAATATCACCGAATTTTAAATTGAAATCAATAAGAAAGTCTAGCTTTTGTGGAATAACGCAAATATCGTAGAATATATGAATAGCAAATTGGCAACTAGGATTAAGGAAACATCAGAGATACGGGGAAAACAAAAATGGAAATTCCATTAAAATGAAAAATAATCAAAGTCAACTGAACAACTGATTAAAAAGGAAAAGAATTTGGGGGTAAATATTAAAAACGATTAAAATTCATAATAACGAATAAAACATACTAATCAATAAAAACAAAAGTTTTTATTAATCAATAAAAAAAACGAAAGTTGTTCACATAACAAAGCGATTACTGGCGTACGATGTTGTTTCATACTGTGAAGATGTTTGAAATGATTTAACCAACCGAGTTTGTTCCTGTGATCAGATTCTTACCAGCGTATATTTATTCATGGATTCTGCTTGTATTCTTTTTGTAACATCGATCCAGACGCAGAAATCTGTTATCCTGTCTTCTGCGAAAACTACAAAATCATCTGATTTCTTAGAGTGTTTCATCTTTCGCTTGCTTCATGGATTTTCTCCAAGAATGTTGTTTAATGCCGTCAAGATTTTTAAAATGCTTTTACTAACCGTGTTTGTTACAGTGATCAGAATCTTCTACAACATCAGAGTGTATTTGTTCATGGACTATGCTGGTGTGTGTGTGTGTTTTTTTTTCCTGTAGTATTGATCCCAAGACAGAAATCCCTTATCCTATTGCGAAATCTTCAAAAAACATGAATATACTAGACATATTATCACAGAAATAATTTTATGTACTTTTTCATTTATTTCTTCTTTATTGGTCATCTAAACAAAACAGATTTCTAATATTTTGTTTGGATCATTGTTTGATTAAATAGTCCTGACAAGATACAAATTCATACAGTATACTTTTAAAAATATATGGTTTAAAATGTGTGCTTTAATTAATTTGATGAAATAAATAAAAGCACATGATATTACTTTTTGCGAAGTACATTGGCCATTAATGTTTATGTATAACTCAATACTTCAATGTTAAAATAAAACAGTATTTAATTAAAACCGTGAATAAATACTTAACAATAACAAAGAAGTAAAAGTCAACCAAAGATAATTAACCATTTCAGTGAATACCTTGTTAGTAGCGCGGCTCGGCTTAATGTCTAGTAAATTCTAAATGAAAACCCAAATCATCGATGCACAATAAGGCACACTAATTCGACTGGATAGTTCCACTCAATAGTCACTTAATAATCACTGCAGTTAGTAGCCTGATATCGCTATTTTTATACCTGACAGAAGACATATATTCATAAGTCCAGAGTGTCAAACTCGAACCTCGATGTTGGTAGTTACTCAATTTCTTCCTATATAACGTTACTTAAAAGGTATTGATTCATTCTTAATAGTAAAATTATATTTGTAAAATAATGAAAATATAGAATTGAAAACTCAAGGAAACATAACGTAATTATGGAAAAATACATCTGTGTTCACCGATAACGCTAAATTCATGAAGATAAAGATCACTGAAATGATGATCAACCCTTTTTCGGGAATAAATGACCCAAACCATGTTACTACAGGTTTTTGTATTGCCTTCTTTTTGCCAGCGATAGTATTTGTCGAAGATGCTACAACAGTGCCCATTACGTCTTGCGATTCATACTACTCCATGAAAAAATGTAAAACCTTCGTTAGTATTGTTCGTAAGGATTATACCGTTATCCCATCTCATTATTTACGGAACCTTTTATTTCCCGATGTTTTTCCCCTGACTAAATTGATAATCTGATCATTGCTTTTTCTTTGTCGTTGTCTCTTTTTACCGAAGCATAGATCTCAGCAATTACAAAGACCATAATCCTAACTGTCACTTTTTTTTATCTGGACGAGTGTCCTTGTTAATGTCCGGACTACCGTCATGTAAATCCTTGAATCAAGAACATAAAACCGACGATATCTTGAAACTGTCCCTAGAATCTGCTATCATTATGCACTTCATGTTCCGATGTCTACTTTTCTTCCATGAATGAAATTCGACCAAGTGCCTCTTTTTTATGAGCAGCGGAATTTTTGTAGTCTCACCTACTTAACCAAAGAAGAAGGAAATAACGAGTAGGCAAGGAAAATCATTTGAGATCAAGCGACAAACAAACGGATATTGATTAATTCCGGTTGATGGTTTATATTAGCACGCATGCTTCAGATTAAAGGGGCTAGTTCTGTCTTTTATGAGCTATTTAAATCCGAAACCTATTTTGGACTTTCAGAATAATTATCTTTTTTGTGAGTGAATATTGCATTTATATTTTTTTTAGAATTACAACAATTTCTCCAGATACATGTCCTCCTAATTAATTCATTGCCAGGAGGAGATGGATTTACATTTTTTACGTGTAAGTGAATGCAACGAACGCGTCTAGAATTCGAACTCGGCTTTCCAATTTCTTAGTCCGAACCGCTATCCATTACACCACCCGCACATCTTTCAAAAAGTTATACCAGCGATAGCATTTTTCGAATATAAAAATAAATGGTTTTCTTATCTTGTCATTGATTTTAAGTTTTGCTTTCTGATTGATTTATATGAGCTTTTCCTTAATTTCTAATATAGTGTTCCCATCTCTCAATCACTTTATGATGATTTTTCTTTTGAGCTTCATTCTTTCTAGCAACACATGTAATTCATAGGGATTTTCCAAGCGTAGCTTAGATGTAGCACAAGGCCGAAAGTATGGGGCATCCAGTGAGGGTCGAATTCACTACTCAGTAGTAATTGTGCTAGCAAGACAAGCTTGCTAACCATTACACCACCTCGAGATGCCCAAAACGCATGTAAGTCATATGTATAAAACTACAAATGATAGCGTTTTATATCACTCACAGTGCAAGTAAGAATCACAAGCAGAGATCGACTTCAAAATTCGTCTTTCAAATGGAAGCGAGGCTTTTCAAACCTCGTTTTGAGTTTGCAGACGTTCATTGCTGTAGTTGGCTTCAGAAATCCAAATAATTTTTTATTTTTACTTTTTTTTTTTGATTTACTTATTTTGTTTTTGCTACGGACTTGTTATATAATTTTCTGTTTATTGCAAAAGTTTTTTTGCGAAATTCACTCAAAAATATAATTTAAGAATGTTTGTCTTATCAGTTGGAAATTTATTTAACATCTTTTATTTAGAATTATTTTAATATTCTTCTCCGTGCAATTCTTATTGATAAAAGCAAATACAGTCATGATAAACTTTAATGTTTTGTCAATTTCTATCTCTATTTCTAGCAGGAAAAAAATTTACGTTGAATATTTACCACAATTCTTATAACACAAGGTAACTCTTAGATTTGCAGAATTCAAGACATACAGAGACACGAAAATACGCTGTACGTAAAAAAGAAAAATAATGCTTAATTTTGCTTCATTAAAGAAATAATTTATTAATCCGATTTTGTTTTAAAATCTCTCTGAAGAATATAATATTTAATGCTTTTTTATGTTAGACTTTTTACAGTGATTTTTTTTCTAAATAAGTCTTGCTTAGATTTTATTTTATACGTTGCAAAATTTATTTAAAAATGCCATTAGTTGTTATGTAAAGATAATTTAATAATTTTTCCCTGGAATATTGTTATTTATAAAAAAATATATTGATGATGAAATTTTTATGCCAATTGTTTATATCCAAAAAGATATTTATAAATAGTATGTTGAATTTTAGATTAGTTTAACATTAGAAACGTATAATAGAAACATATTTGATTAATGAAAATTACTTTTCTAAGAACTTTTAATAATTCTGGGCTAATTTCGAAAATTCAAACATTTTAAAACTTTCCTCCAGTTCTGGCCCTTAGTCGTACCATACGTATATCTGTAGTATAAAAACTAAACCTGAATAAGTTTTTTTAATACATATTTATATGATGGACACTGTTCTA